CCGCCGACGGCACGGCTCGGCTTCCGCAGTGGAATAAAAACAACCGGCGCCATCCTCCGAGCTGGGCCGGGGCTGGCTCCGCACAGCCTCAGCGCGGCTCGGTTGTGCGGTGTAAAAGATTTCCCATAGAGATCCACCGGTATAAATAAATATTCTGATTCTGAGATGGCGGCGATGGAATGAGCTCATCTGCAGGAGCTCCATGCATCATTGCTTTGCGATACCACAGAGATGGCTTGGGGAAGCCTTCATCCAGCAGTGCATTGTTCGTAGCTGATGATGATGTTGATGAACATAGAGATCTGTGGACTGACACAGAAACCCACAGAATTACATCGAGGCCCATAGACTCAGATCGACACCCATTGACAAACAGAGCCTCGCGTAGAGACCCACGTGTTCACATAGACACCCACAGACTCGCCGTGTCCCCCCCCCCCTACGCCGCGTCGTCTCGCAGCCACGTCGTACCTGCAGACGGACCCGTCGGGCCGGGGGAAGGGCACCCCCGTGGTGGTGGTGAAGCAGGGGCACGAGCCCCCCACCTTCACCGGCTGGTTCCTCGCCTGGGACCCCACCAAGTGGGAACGGACCCCTTCGAGAAGATCAAGGCGTCGTTCAGTAGGGGGCGGGGATCCGAGGCGAGGAGACGGCCGCTGCAGATTCACCAGCTGCTGCAGCAGCGGCGGCGGAGCGACCCGCAGGTTGTTCAGGCACTCCGCTTCTACCCCGACCGCTTTCGTCTGACAAACCCGCTCGTCACGGTCGTTCGAGATGTAGCTCGCGACAAGAGCGGAGCCCGCCGCGTGCATCGATAACACTGTGGCCCTCGAGAGAACAAAAGATATTGAACGTTTCGGTCAATGGCCCTTCACCCGTGGCGCATTCATAGCACAGACCTCTGTGCCACGAATATTTTCCCACTGTCATCGTCGATCGTGCCGAGTGTGATTGTTTACCCCTCTGCCGATGCAGCATCACAAATCAACCGTCTGGAGAGAGACGCTCCGCCTTGTTGACTATAAACGCTGACGTTTGGTGCTGCTGCTGCTTTGGCAGTGGTGCAAACGCATAATTGACAATTTTAAACCGTAGCACATTTACTATGAAGAAGGTCCATTGCCCGAACCGTCACGTCTTACACGTACTTTTCCTTTAAGGCCACGCAGTGTTATTGACGAACGTGTTGAGTTTTCTGTTGTCAATTTACTTTGCGGTGAAATAAATACGAGAGGCCTGGAGGTTTCGGGCTGCAGCGCACACGCGTGCCAACTGGTGATCAGCTCGACGCACGATCCACATCGCTTTTGCATCACGCGGGTTATTGTTGCTCCCATCATTGTTTTTACAACGCCTGCTGCCGGGGAGAAAAACGGAACGCATTCCAAGTTTGCTTTTACACACACCCCTTGACCCCGGCGGCGGCGACTGTGTGGCATGTCTTTTGTACGCTTTGCAGAAACGCGTTTGGTGCGGACGCGCGTGTTATTCCGCCTGCCTCGGCAGCCTTACGTGCTAAGCTCGCGAGCGCTTTCAAAAATAAATAAATAAAGGCCATTTTACTCACGTGAGAATTGACTCGATGACTTTACTCCGCCGGTGTGAGACGCTACTTCAAGTACTGTAGTCCTCTGCAGCGGAGATCTGGGTTCAAACCGGCGACGAGAGATATTTATCCATAATGGAGGGGTTTTTTTGGGGGGTTAGATCGCGAAAATATATATGTGTCGCGAAACCCGCCACCAACCGATACAGCCAATTAGTAAGGTTTGTCGCGTCAACAAAACGTGCCAATTAGTTACTCGTACAGCACACCGGTGTGTTGGAGAAAACCCACAACATTTACATTTACCACTCAAAAAACCTCTATTATGAATAACTTCGGTCGTTAAAGCCGACGTGTTAAATAGATCATTGATCATCGTCATCACAATCATCACCAGCCTTGGTTAATTCACTGCTGGGGGAAAGTCACGCCAAGCATTCACCACCTCTCACGATGTTGCGATGGTCGAAATTCCAAGAGGTGGAACGCGTCCGAGAGGAATGTCCGCAGAGGAGATGGAGCAATGAAACCAGCTAGTGTGGATTAGCACGGTTGGATACGTACGTGTGAAAGAATTTCAACATACATACATACATTCTAGACTTGAAGCTTTCGTAACTGCAAGGAATCATATTCTTAGGTGTTTTCGGTAAAGTCACGTAGGTAAAACATCAAAATTAATAAAATAATAAAATAAAGATCACGACGTTTCGGAGGCAACACAAGTCTCCGTCATCAGGTGGGACAGTCACAGCCAGATTAGCTGCATCAAGTGAGGCAATGATTCAAGATGTAATCCCTTAAAAGCGAGTTGAGGGGGGAGGACAGGGGGGGGGCTCATCAGAATGTGGTAGCCAATGAATGGAAAGTATCGGGAGAGAGGGGCCAAAAAAGGGTGGGCGACGGCGTGGAAGCTATTGTGCGCAAGCGACACACTGCTGCCCACGCCAACACATTGGACAGAGAGGGGGGAGGGGGAGGTCTGATACACATGATAGAAAGAAAAGAAAATGCGCATGTTTATACCAATGCTGGCTGAACAATGAAGAGATTACTGTTAAACACTCGGTAAAGTAAACTAGTGCCTGTCAGATAAGATGGTCAAAAAGTGTAATTAAGTCTTTTTTGCGTGGTTAATAACATCTTTCCAATGATTACTCAGTTTGTACCCATCATCACGGTTGAAATTATGTCTGTGTTTGTATATTTGTATGGCTTCGTGTACAAACCTTTGATGGTAGCCAGGAGGTTTGCAGAGAACCTTGGTCTCGGAAAAGACAATTTCATGAGAGCCCACTGAGTTGTAGCGGGCTCTCATGAAATTGTCTTTTCTGTCCAATGCGTTGGCGTGGGCAGCAGTGTGTCGCTTGCGCACAATAGCTTCCACGCCGTCGCCCAGCCTTTTTTGGCCCCTCTCTCCCGATACTTTCCATTCATTGGCTACCACATTCTGATGAGCCCCCCCCTCTCCTCCCCCCTCAACTCGCTTTTAAGGGATTACATCTTGAATCATTGCCTCACTTGATGCAGCTAATCTGGCTGTGACTGTCCCACCTGATGACGGAGACTTGTGTTGCCTCCGAAACGTCGTAATCTTTATTTTATTTTATTATTTTTATTAATTTTAATGTTTTACCTACGTGACTTTACCGAAAACACCTAAGAATACATACATACATATGGGTGCCTGGCTGGATTGTTACATTTTTGTACCGTGAGTGATGGCAGCTGATTAGGGAGGTCTTCATCCAGCAGTGGATTGACCATGGCCGATGATGAATTCTGTTCAGATAGGCCTCATTGTTCATCAAGCTTGAACTGTGATGGCCATGGTAGCGATGGTGGCGATGGTGGTGATGGTGGCGATGGTGGTGAATGGTGGTTGGTCACCGGCGAATCTACCTGGTCTGTCACTCCGCAACAAAGCTTCAGGTCTTCTCGGCTACAGTCATTCCCGTCCCTTCTCTATGCTTGCGAAACGTGGAACCCCCTAATGGAACATCTTCGCCAGAAACAATTATAGCTGGCCTGTCTACGAATCCATCCTGGTTTAACCAGGCGGATTGTGTGAGGAGCTCACAAATCCTTGAAGATCTGGACACAGTCCCATCGGTGAGCTCCTTCGGCAGGCAAGGCTGCGTTGACTGGGCATGTAGCCCGCATGCCCAGTCACCGCATGCCTAAACAGCTTTTGTTCGGCCGGATCGAGGGGGCTAAACAGGCGCGACACGGGCTAGAGACGAGATGGAGTGATGCGGTACAGGAGGACGTGGAGCTGAGTGGACTTGCCGATGACTGGTACTAGCGGTGTCAAGATCGGCCTCTGTGGTGGAGGCTCGTGAAGGATACTACTGGGCAGTTGGAGGCAGTCGCCCTCCAACAATAGCGGAGGGCGGAGGAACGACGCTCACAACACGAGTGGAGTGCCGTGTGGT